TAAGTTCATTCATTATTTTTATTGGTGTGGTTTTGAGGTATATACTGAGTTGTATGTTGAACTTCATTTTATTTAGAGTATGTGATTCAAAAACCAAGTATATAAATTTAATTAATGGTTAATTTGAAAATTAGAGGTGGTCAAAAAACAACAGCAGGGATCCATCAAAACATAGTAACTATGRTCAAAGCAAATATTGGATGCTTGCTTGCAGATATATAAAGATAGCTTTCAAATATTATTAATTGATGATTTCTACAATCGTTGGATAATAATAAACGGCCATGCACGTTGGCATATGATGGTCTATAAGTGGAAAAACAACTGCAAGTTATTTGCTTTATTCATACTTACTTTTACCATAAAACATCCTTGCCATTTGACCCTAAAATGCAATGTATAAAGGATTGTTGTTATCAACCAATCAATAATTCATTGTTTACTCTATGCACGTAGTGCACTTTTCAGAGCAGTGACCTAACTCACCATTTCAACCCGTGTAGTGATGTCATACAAGTTTGGTTTTTGTCCTACTCTTGTAAAGTCTAAAGAAAACATTTGTATATTAATTTAATTCTATAAATKGAAGAAAAAGGCACACAACTTGCAACTAGTGTTTCTACTCTTTATTCGAACGTTTTGGCACTTCGGCCTTCTTCAGCAAACTCTTAAATTAATTATACATATACACTCTATGACTGACAGTTAACAATACTTGATTCTTTATATAATGATTGCAATTTAAGTCACTTATACACGCAGCATATACGGTATATACTGAACAACTAACAGAAATTAGCTAAAAGAAATAGCTAATATGGGGACCATGTGATGAAACAAAGAAACATGCCCAGCTAATCCTGGCTAGTTTCAGCCAAAAATGCAAGYAAAATCCCACAAGCAGTACTGTGAAAGTTTAATATGCATATACTGCAGTACATCAGTTTTTTATCAAAGTACTCCACAAGCAAGGCACCATGTTGTTTTCTATATACTATTAGGCATGGCCTTTTATACCATGTTTTCACATGTTATCCTGATTGGCAACTGTGYCATATGAGTATAATAATAATGTTTATTCCATTCAAATCACAGTTTAAAGGGAGGAAAACACTGAATTACAGGAAGATCGCAAAACTGAGATTACAGTTGGGCAGGCATAGAATGCTCAACACTATTACTACAGTACAGATATTGTACAGACACAAAACCTTGAAGTCTCTCMGTTCTTGTAATATTTTTCTGTTGCAGAAAAGAGTTGACGACAAAGAGAATGAAAGTTGAGTATATCGGGAGGGGTGGGGGTGGGGTGGGTTGCATGGGAACCCCCCATTACGACTAGACTAAATAGGGATAGGACAAAAATGTAAAAATATTCAAAAAACTTTTAAAGAAAAATGTCCATTGACAAGCCATTATTTAAAGCCCTGAGCTTCATATAAAACAAAAGTAATAATCCAACATACTAATTAATGGCTCATTTTCCCTAAATATCTCTTCATCTTGACTGGTTGTTGTGCTTTTCTCACCATTTATAGCACCCTACACACAAAAACAGTAACTTTAGTCATTTCATTCTTCATAAATGTTGTCAATACAATAGAAATTTCTTTTGACTTCAAAGGACCCAAAAATAGCTTTCCCATTTGTTGCATCAATGACAGCCCATGTAATTGTAACAATCATTTCCAATAATTCTGTTAGATATCATAGCTCCTTATGCCTGCTCACCATGCAATCTGATTAATATGTGATCATGTAATTTTTTTCTGTAATGTACATGTAATCTGTTGAGTTTTTTTTTTTCTTGCTAAATAATATTGCATATATTTACTAGACTCATTGACACATTCTGATCAATTAATTGACTCCTTAAAGACTTAAGGGTGTACTGACGTATCCGTTTCTAGACGACCTGGTTGCTATGCTAGCCGATGCTAGCCAATCGGAGAAGCGGGCGTGCACACGTTTTCATGGCGGGAAAATTTTTATTTCCGGTGGAAAGGTTTTTTTTACATAAAATGTATGGTATCATTTAAAAAATATAATCTTTGGTGCGAAACATCAAATGGATGTGGTTTTTCAATATTTATGTTCTTCACAGCCTCCTCTTCAGAAACAAGCATGGGTTTGGCGAAAAATTAAAAAATACGAAAGTTATTGGCATTTCTCGCTTATTTGTTGCATTTAAAAAAATCGTAAAAAGCTAATTTGGCAATCATTCTAAAAAAGCATGCTTGCTTTTACGGACTTAAATCTAAAGATTAATTTCATCCATTTTAAATTATTTAATATACTTTCACTTGATGAAATTATAGCATTTTTTCATATTAATGACATCACGCGATGATGTTATACAATGACGTCATAGAATGTGTTATTTTTGTTTGGGAAGGCTTAATAGTCAATACGAAAGCGATTTTACTTTTGTTTGTCATTTTAGAGAACTACTGAATTTCCCTAGCAACGGATATGTCAGTACACGCTTAATGACAAATCTAATTAATCAGTTAATTTTTGCAAAGGACTGTGCCAATTATATAAGAATATAAAATTTGAATACCACATCTATAATCACGGCAATAACCCCTGTTCACCACCTAGAAGTTGTGAAAATAATTTGCCATGGGTATTTCTGTGACACTATAAAAACACTTTGATTCAAATATAATATGTACAAATGTCATCCACTGATGTAATTTTGTATTCAAATTGACTGTTGATTGTTTGGGTCAAACTTMAGTTGCTTCAATACCCTTACAAACTTCAAAACTTTGAGGTGATGATGCAAGCGTTTTCACTGAATTCATTACCCAGTTTTTTTCTTTTATTCTTAAAACTGCATTAGCTGCTGCCATTGCTTCTACCATGAACGTTGATGTAACAAAACTATTAACACAAACATAAAAATATATAGAATGAGTGCATGCTATATCAGTTATCCTTGAGATTGACACATGTCAAGCAATGAAGCAAATACATAATTGGCTGTTTGCATGTTGCAAATGTGATTGATGCTAAATCTAAAAGCCGTAGAAACAGTAGAAAGAAAAGCTAACATTTGTTGCAGTAAATGTCCAGCTCAAGGTTTTTGCATTAATAACAGTAGCATTAAAAGGCTATATATAGGGGTGGATCCAGCATTTTTTAAGGGTGGTACTAAAATGGCACAAACTTTCGGAGGGAAATTTGCATGACAGATTAGTTTGGGGAACGTATCAAATAGAAATTTTCCATTAAAATTAAGGAATTAACTAGGAATTAACCCCTCCCCCCCAGGTTATGCAGGTTATGTCCAAAGTGCTCTAATCATAAATAACAAAATGCACTATAYGTCACACAGGTAGGGGAATAAACAAGAGGAGGACATTGGGGGGTCTTAAAAACCACAACACCACAAAGAAAAGTACATCCACACTGCAACATTGCCAAAAAAAATGGAACACCGTCACCGCAATTTTTCAAAGACTCATGTGATGCCTCTGTCTTCTTCTCCTTGAAAAWATATTGTTTAGCGTCTTTGGTGGGGTCAAGAGGATGTTGTCGTAAGCACATACATGTTCCACTGTTGATTGTCCTGATTGGCTGAATCAGGATAAGACTGTCATGACTGTCATTTAAGTGAGATTCGGAAACAAAATAGATAGCCAAACATTWTCTGTCAATTGGACATCAACAAATTCGCAACACCACAAAATTTTTCTGTTATGTAACATAACCTAAACACCCCACATCGCAGGGTTTGTCAACATCGCAATTTTTCAGCTTTGTTCATCGCAACACCGCAAATGTCTCCCTCAAAAAGCTATGGCAAGGTCAGATTGCTGTGCYCCAATATTCTCAGAGAGAGGCTYTTTTTTCTAACTTCAAGTATTCCAATAAATTCATTTCAAGGGAGTTGTCAATATTGGAAAATAGAAATAAATTTTCAATGAATGATAACATTCACTAGCACATACAACTCTGCACTTATCAAAAGATTGTGTAAATTGTCAAGGACATCACAGGGGCGTGATGCATTTGCCAATTATAAWCTTGTGACAGTGTCATATGACAGACTGTTTCAAGATTTTGAATCACTGCAAAACGGATATAACYCTGTCTTATTTGAACAGAATACAAACAATATGTCTGTGAAACATTTGTACTATTTTGAAAAAAGTAATCAAGCATCGAGTATCATATCAGTGATAATATTAATGCCAAGTTTCAAAAAGAATTATAGAATTGACGAAGATATGGATTTTMAAAACTTTGGGTTTATATTTTCTCACCGCTCGTGCATGTCATGTGAGCCTCGTTTTCATGGTAAAAACAAACGAGATTTAAAAATTTTACTTCTTTGAAACTTTACACCATCATTAATGTGACCAATTCGATACTTGATTTCATTTTCGTATTTATCAAGTCTTTCAGAATGTCATTATAGAGCCTGATGATTTTTAGACAACAATCGGGACCACAAATAAGTACTTAATAAACTTTCACCTCATAAAAGCGAGTATACAAATGACTATTGTAGAGACGATCCATCCAGCTGCAGCAAAAGCTTTAGGCATCGTTAATGCTCCAACTCCAATGATTAAATTGAAGATATAAATGAAAGCAACCTATATAAACGTCGGTTTGTTAGCTAACAAGTTAACACAACTGCAATGCACGACAGCAAAGGAACCTTACCGGAGCTGAATACAGCTCACCAGTCTCTGTTACGGCTCCCATCACATCAARTTGTTCTCAAACTGCCAGTAGTAGTCCTTCTCTTCTTCATTCATTTCACAGCGACGTGGAAATCTGGAGGAAAATATGACAAGATGACCTAATGCTGACACAGTCACGAGTTACCAATGCAAGTTCCGGTCATATCTCGTAATGCACAACTGCTGACCAAGGAAATCGCTGGTTCTTAGTTTAGATACATTGCGGAAATTACTGGATCATAAAAAATACAGTCTTTTTGCGACCCATGCTGTTATTTCTAAGAAATTCAAGCACTAAATAAGAATAAGGACATGAAAAAAAAGTTAATCAAGACTTACCTGAAAGTTGGGGTTTGAGATTCTGAAGTCACATCATGAAGTATTGGGAATCATATGACTGACATGAGCCTAAYACTCGACATGCCTGTATAATTACAGTCGCGAGATTGAATCACGCGAACATTTACAAAACAATGGATATTATACGCTAAAAATTTTCATTGTGGGAAAAATTCCAAAAGAGTTCGTACCGACTCCTTTCGATACTTCTTGTACTTCTTGCACGTCCGGGAAATCGATTTGCGAAAGATAAAAAGCAAATTACTTTCGAGCATTTTGAGAGTCACTTTTTAGGAAAAAGAAAAAAGGAAAACAGGATGACTTTTCGCTTTGATCAGTATCGACAACAAAAGATTATTGGAAATGTTGCAAAACATG